GTCTGCCTCATCAATGAGGAATTTTATTGCAACGCATAGGTAAAAAATAGAATAACCTGAAGCATTAGGATAGTGTTGGTGTGTTGTGTGTGTATCTGTGTAACATCAGGTGAAAATCAGTGATGCACTAGTTAATCCCTTAAAAAAGATTCCAGAGTTAGGAAGGAGAAGAACGTCGCAAATTTTAAAATTAAGTTTTACGGGCAGATTATGCCTTTTCCCTTGAAACAAGTAAGGGGTAATTCCCTTGTAATTACATGAGGATGAATTAATTACTTTCTAACAAACTCAAACAAAAACTTGACTACATAATGCCTTCTTCTGTTTTCTTAATTAAAAATGTCCAGGAGCATTTTCATAATATGTAGATTTCCCCCTCTTGTGAATTATTGATATATTTATGCCTTTTTGCTAATACGAGGAAATTGAGGTTACAAATCCTCCCTTTGATGATGCATCTCGTTACGGGCTAGTCTGTATCAAGTTGTGCATCAACAACATACCTGGAGAGGACTTGAAGTGCCCAATCCTACTACAAGGGCCAGTTAGCAGCTTTCTGCTAATTCTGGGTATGGACCAGACCCAAGTGCATTATGTACTTTCCTGATGGTGAACACATGGCTTGAACATGAAATTCATTGTGCTGAGCAAGCTGCTGTTTTGACTACCATTGATTTGCCAGGTAGCTGACTGAGAGCAGGTGAGACAGTTTCCATCTGCAGAAGAGACTCATAAATCTCTTTGTGTACTAAGACTTGCAAAAGAACTTCACAAACCTAGCTTGGAGCTTTTGCAGCCTTCATCCATACATTAAGTCCTTGGTTGCATACATAGTTTTGAACCAAGTATTTGTTAAGAAAATGTGGTTAGAATATCTGTGGAATAGGAGAATCTAATATCAGTAACATACTCATGTATTTGTTTTTTACTGCAGAGCAGTACTTTTACATCTGCAGAATATAGAGGCTCTTTGAATAAGTTTCATCTCTGCAATTTCTCTTGCATTGATTGTAATTATGCATGTTTGTAATGTATGTACATGGGAGACTATAAATATATGTTACATATTTGAATAGTGTGTTGGCAATACTTTTAGATATGCATGCATTATTAGTGAAAATAATGTTAGTTTTGTGGAAGTACACTGTGTGCTGTTACAATTAATACTGGCTTCATTGATTATCATCTGTATTATAACATAGAATAGCAAAGGAATTAATAATGATTATAAACTGCGGTGTTCAGAGGGTTCATTTTGAATGAAGTTCATTTTTTAGGAACGGACCTGTGCTGAGGCTACATGGGAGCCATTAGTAGGGCATTAATACAGGGCATCTGCATCACCGTTAAAAGTAGGAGAGGATCCAAAACCTCTCCTGTTACTACAAATCCAAGCACGAATGGGTGATGGGGTTGCATCTGCTACTTTAAGGGAGAGAGATGTTTGAATTTATAGTCCTGCAGGCAGGGCAGTAATGGAGGAAGATTTCACTTCCTTTGAAGCCTAATTAACTGAATCTCACATAAAGGAAGTGAGTTTCAGTCACTCTGAACATGATTAAGTTTTCCAGCAAACATGCTTTTCTGTTTGTTTTGGGATGCTATCTAGTAGTGGGACATAGGGGCTAGCTATAGATGTCTCCTTTTTAAATAGAAATTCTTGTTACATTTCTCAATATTGCTTTGAAAAATAAGAGGTCAGCTTTCAAGCACAGGCGTGACAAATAAAGCTACAGGTGTGGAAAGCAGTTTCACATTCACAACATTTGTGAGGGGTTTCCAGCAGAAACGGATACTCACTTATCATATTCATTATGCCTCTCTATCATTCACCTAGACCCTATATAATTATGTGTTTAATGATCTTTAACCTTCACATGAACACAGCTTGCTGAAGCTTGACGATTGCTGTAAATTATCATTCACATCTGGTAGAAGAGAGGAAATATTACTTGAAAAAAATACTATGCTTTCTGGCTTAGAATTTCACTTCAGTTCTGTGATTTAGCTTTGTAAGTAGATAATGATGTTTTAATCCTCAATCCAAACAATGAAATGGTTTTGGAAAAATGGCTCTTCCATAGGTCATTTATTATAATATTTTGATATTAGAGTGTAAGAACTTCAAAATCTAGAAAAGATATTTTAATCTTTAAGCCTCGATGCTCACCATAAAAAGTTCATATGATTTCAGTAAATGCCATATTTATGACTTGTTTTTTATTAAAGAACTAAAAAAAATTTACTATCATTTTTGCCACTATTAATCTTTGGGTAAAAAACCTGATCTTCCACTAATCAGACTTGGTTTCAACTTTAAGATTATAAAATGCTTATAGCTCTTCCACTTTTTATTTAATGTTTAGCCCTTCATTTGAAACATAGCAATAGCAATATCTGTTTCTTTCTTTTGATGCAAAGGACTTCAACTTATTAGAAGAAACAATTAATAGTAATCATAGACTTTTTCATTTTAACCGTTTGTATCTTACTAGCACTGCAAAGGTTTTATAGCTTTAATTTATACCAGAACTGATTTATGAACCATAAATTCTGTTGAATAATACAGGTAAGACTTACACCAGAGGTTATACTGACAGCCTCTTCTGTTTATTAGCAAATAGCAAATTGGAGAATCTTTGAGCATTCTCAAATATCTGTGTGGGATATCTAGTTTATCCAGCCAGTGCCGCCTTAGAAATTCAGATTATAGTTTTTCACTGTAAGGCTCTGTGTAGTTGGGTGAAGTGAGAAGTTCCCAATTGCTTTGCTGAGTTGTGTGTGTCCAGACAATGTTGTGATATGACATCGCTGTAATTCAGCTATGAATATTCTGCCAAAACCTTCATATGCAATGTTAATAACATATAGATTTTATTAGGAATCAAACAGATGCTTAAAGTATAAACAATCTGTTTAAAACACAAATAGATTCTGGATTGATCTTGACAGGCTCTAAGACCCTGAAAATAATTTTTTATGCTGCTGACACCTAGATTGAGTATAATCCTGCCCATAAGGGCAATAATCTTTAAGACAAAAAAAAAAGTTGTATTAACATGTCTTACTGAGCAGGCAAAACTGCAGTACCAACCAACAGGAGAGTGCTGTTAACTTAAATCAGTATAACATAAATTATGCTAATTGTTCTCAAGTAAAAGCTGATGGCAACTACAAAAAGAAAAACAGATTGAATTTTTGGAAAAAGGACTCAGCTGTCACTTGATGTCTATGTGTATGTTCATGTGGGTTGGGTAAGAAGAGTGAACTGGATTGAGTCATTCATATTCACACAGTCAAAGTGCTTTTAAAAAGTTGTTAAAACAGTGGTGTGGTAATAGCTGGTGTGGTAATAATGTGTTGCCCAGCAAAACACAGAGGATGAAGTTACACCTCTTGTAGTCAATGGGTGTTCTGCTGTTATTGCAGAGCAGAGAATACACTGGTGGCCCAGGATGTTGTATGTATAATAAACCAGATAACTGGAAAATCAAACCTGACTGCTATTGTCCACTATGCTCATTGCAACAATTTGAGATTCCTTTTTTGTAAGGTGCTGTTAACGAGTTTTCTAGGCTCTTATTCCTGTATGTGACCAATTATCTACTGAAGAACCTGCAGAGCCTACTTGTGGTATGACTTAAAAATCTACTTGTGGCTTGGCTGTAGCCAGTGTTACAAGGCTTTTTTTCCACACTTATTTTAATATCCTAACACAGGATTTAATATCCTAATACAGGTTCTTGTATCAAATGACAATGCTGCCTGGCCCTAGCAACCACTGCTATAACTGAAGAGTAAAATGTATAACCAGCAACAATTTCTGTTGAGCTGTCTGCACAAAAATGAGCAAACAGGAGCAAGTCTAGTAGTAGTTGTTGTAAGTCATGTTGCAGCTATCCTAAACAGGTCGTACGTATTTCCTTCAGACTATTTTTTGTGAGGCAGAGATAAATAAGAATAAATGCAAGTTACATTTTTAATGACATGTTATTCACTTTTTATCGTTCATATTGACTGTGTTAGGTTTAATAACAAATAGAATTTAAAGCACTGTTACTGTATATTTAAGTTATCCTGTATTTTTTTAATGTGTTGGTACTAATACATATAGTCCACGAATTGGTGCGCTCGCCCTCGCAAATTAAAAATTATTGGAGGAAATCTGATATTTAGTACTTGGCTCTGAGCCTACAAAAAAAAAAAATCAATGGAAGTCCTTTGTTTGTCTCCAATGTTCTTCAGTTCAGGCTTGTAATTAACAAAAAAATTCAAAGTAAAGAAGAAAACCTGTTTTTTCCGTACTGTTTCAGATCCTATTATAATCCTATCTTGTTTTTCGAAAAGCCAGGTACAATCTAAATACTATTTTTTCTAATGGGGCACTGAGGAGAATGTGAAGATGTGTGTAAGGATGGTTCTTACATTTCTGGAAACTTGCTTTAACAAAGCTTTCTTTCAGGGGAAATACATTTAGAATAAAGATCTTAGAACCTTTTAAGTTCTGCTGAGAGCTGAGTTATGAGCTAAATTTCTGTGAATGCTGTCCATTACAACATTTACAACATGCCAGTGTTCAGCCATTTTCTGTCACCTGAAAATAAGCTGAAAGTAATAACTAAAAATAAGAAACTAGATTAAAATATATATTGTTGTTAATCCTTTATTTGCCCTTTGATCTAATAGGTTAAGGACATTTTGTGCTTGCTCATTTTCGCTGATAATAGTTCTGAAGACATTTACATTTTAGAACAGGGATTTAAAATATATATAACAGCTGCTTTTTAAATAGAAAGTCTAATTATGCCTATGATTACATTCAGTTTTGATTAATATGCATACAAATTCTTACTTTCCTTGTGTATTCAAGCTGAGATATGGATCACTGGTGCTAAGACTGAAGTACAAAAGAATAGCTTGACAAAATGTATGGTTAGACCAATGCGAAAAAAAATTCTGGGTGTAATTTTTGTCTCTAAAATGCTTTTTTTTCCATTTAGTTACACACAGACCTGGATCCTGGCAGCAGCAAAATCAAGTATATTCTGTCAGGAGATGGAGCTGGAACAATCTTTGTGATCAATGACAAGACTGGAGACATTCATGCAATGAAAAGGCTTGACCGTGAGGAAAAAGCTGAATACACTCTAACAGCTCAAGCAGTCGACAGGGACACAAACAAACCTCTGGAGCCTCCTTCAGAATTCATTATTAAGGTTCAAGACATCAATGACAATGCCCCAGAGTTTGTTGATGGTCCATATCATGCCACGGTTCCAGAAATGTCTGTTGTAGGTATGTATGTCTAAATATCGACGAACTTGATTACTCACAGTTTAAACTGTGCTAGTATGCCATTGAGTTGTTGATGAATAATAAGATATTTATTGTGTTGTTAGCATTAATTTGCATACTTTCAAATCTCTTCTTGGCCAAAGCTTTCATCTGCAGCACAATAGTAGAGTCCCTTAGTAGTAAGAAAATGACTAACAGATGTATTAATGTGTCTTTCTTTGTCCAACAACACTTTAATAGGCTAAATTTATATTCCCCTTATGATGCTGTAGTTATTGTTATTGAGAAGGATTTATCAAGATTTGTTCCAACATGACACTCTAATCCTATTGATATTTTGTTGATGTTTAATTATCTGTTTGTGTATTTTCATACACAGATGTAGCACTTGCAGTATGTTGATACACACTTATTTGTTTTCCTCTAAGTGCAACTGTAATCAGCCAAAAACATTGAAACGAAAGATGCTGTGTCTGGGAATTGATGGTTAGACTCTAGAGTGGACTTAACCAATTAGCCATAGGATTTGCACAGAAGATGGAAGGGGGAAACAGACAAAGCTGTGGAAAAAGATGGTGAAAAGGGAAATTAACTGTGTGAAAGGGGAGAAAAAGATAGGAGTAGGAAATAATCTTCTTAATACATTTTCCTTCTATTTATTCATTTTATCGGATTAGTCTGAATCTATTTCCTCATGGATTAATATATTAGTGGGGGTTTTTTTGCATAGTTTGTCCCTTGTTCTGTATTTGCAAATGTGTAAGTGTGTACTTACAGAGGTACATATTTACGTACTCGGGTTCTCAGTCCCTACTGATATATACATATCAAGTGCAGGTGATCTTTAGCTGTCGCTAAAGCAAAAGGGAAGTAAACCCATCAGACCAAAAGAGTCAATTTCAGGGTAATGTAAGAATTCAGGACATCAAAATCTGGCCATGAAATGCAGAGTAAATTCTAATCTTTTCTAGTATTTGGTTGAGGATGATGTGCTTTTCAGCAATTTGTCTACATCTGTCAAAGCAAGATAATTGAAGGAGTGCCAAGGCACTTTGCAAAATAAAGCACCACCCTATCAAAAAGTTTCAAAAACACCATTCTGACTTACTTAATTAAAAAGAGGAGGAATGTGAGGAGCCAGAACCATCCTCTCACTCACATTCAGTACAATGAGTTGTATCAGGTCATTTTCAAATGTAGGCATGGTGTGCTGACTAGATGGTGATACTTGAGGCTTCATTTTTTTTATCAGCACTTCTCCAACAGATTTTCATATCTTGGTTGCATTGAATTGCTTGTGCCGAAACTGATATGTGAATTTTCAAGCCTGCATGTCAGTTCTTTTACCAAAACATACGTTTAATTTGTTAAGTTACTTTTAATTATACAGCAGCACAAACATAATATGGACCTGCTTTCAGAAGATATTTTTGCCAAGCTCTAGGCAAGAAAATGGCTTAATTAAATAAAATAAATTAAAAAAAACATAGGGAGCAGGAGAAGGAGGAAGGGAAATTGAAGGCAGTTAATCCTTATATGAGTGGGACTTGTTTGGTATTCCAGGAAAAAAGGAAAATGAAGAGATATGCAGACAAGAAAAGATGGTTTCTGATTACAAAGGCTACTATAAAAATAATTTATATCTGTGCATATGAGCAATATTTATAATCCTTAGTAAAGACATGGCCCCTATCCAAGGAGTATTCACTGTAAAGAAGATGAGGAAAAAAAACCCGAAAACTTTGACAGGAAACTAGTCGGAAGATCAGATGAATAAAAATCTAGTGAATTGGTTAACATAAGGTTTAAAAGATGGTAAAAGTGCAATGAGAGCAAGAGAATAAAAGGTAAAACATCAACGATAGTGAGGGAACATGAAACAATTGAGAGAAGTGTTAAGGTGAAAGAGGAGGGAAAAACGTAAAGGAAGGTTATGAGGGATGAATTAAAAGATAAAACTTTATCTAGGGAAACTTTATAGTAGAAGACTGTAGAAGAAATGACCAATGCCTGGACATAGATGTCAGTTTAGGGAATAGTGAAAGGGGCTGGCTTTTGGAGGATATTATTTCACCTGTTTCCCCTAACATGGTGGGGGAAAGAGAAACAGTTCTTCCCTGAACTGCCTCTGAAATCATGTAGTACCACATTTTTGTGTATTCTTAGGCTACATTGGTCCAAAACGAGTTTATTCTAACAACACAAATATAGGTAGAAATTTGTTATAGATTATCTCAGACATCTACCATTTATTACCTTTATTACTGAAACTATGCAAGTTTTGCACATTCATCCTTTGTGATCCCTGAACCTTGCATGTTTTTTATGTGACAGTCCTAGAGGTGCATGTTTTCAAGCTATTTCTCTAAAGAAGCACAAACATACACTCCTGCTCTTTTATTGAAAAACAAAACCTAATTCTCAGCTGCCACTTCAAAACTCAGAGTATGTTTGCCATTGCATTACGTGGGTCATGAATGAGTGTAAAATTTATGCGGCATATGCAGTCAAGTCTGTGGCTTAATCTCTGATGGAACCAAATTTCAAGGCTGGAAAGTTGAAGATGAGAATGTTACCCCTTCACTAATGCTGTTACTATTTCCTTCTGCCTTCCTCTTTTAACCCACAGGTAGCAACGTCAAGAGCTGTATTAAATGATGCTCCATAAATTATTTTCACTTCCTTTAGATTTTGTTAGTCCTCTTAAAATTACTTTAACTCCTCTATAATGTTTATAAGAAAACTGTCTCCTTTCAGAGTTCAAGGAACTTTTTTTTTTTTTTTTTTTTGCCACACTAGCAGGATTTCACTTCCATTATCCACTTACTTAATTCCCCTTAAAGAGATCTCCGCCCACTGCTAATATCAGCCTTGACATTTCTACAACACAGTCATTACTAGGCAGTGTTCTTACTCAGGATAAAACAAATTCTACTAAACCTCTTCTTTCTTCAACATGCTTATACCAATTCTGACTGCTCTGAAACAGAAGAGGAACTCGTATGCTATATATATAGTACTTATGTAATGAGGATGCAGTACAAGGCATTTTATTTTGAGGCCTCTGTGGAAAGCAATGCATAAAATATAGATGAACGCATTAACCTTTCATCATTCTGTAACGTGATGTTGAGGTTCTAACGCAGTGCAGTTTTGCTGATAGGTACATTAGATACTGGTCTTATGTTCCTTGCTAGAAGAGATGTATTATATGAACGTCAGTGGTATTTTTGCATGACTGTCTAGAACATGAATGATACACTATGGGGATGTGAAAACTGCAATGTACGTGCAAACTTTCTCTATGTGATATGTATGAATGTGTGTGTATGCCAGTATAAGAGATTGTCACACATATATGGCCACAATCCAGCCTGTTTGATTTGTATGTTATATATCAGCTGGAAAATCCTGCTTGCCTACTAAAACAAAAGAAAAGGATTTGCATGGCTTTCCTCCCACTCGTTGGTGCAAAGACGATTAGTATTACACTGTGTTATCTCCGGTAGGAATGATGCTCACTTTTCAGCTGTCTTCACAGAACACACACCCACACGCGTAGCGAGTGGTGTGTATCGTCACTATGTTCAGAGTTATTTTGAAATAATTTATTTCTCTCTTTGAGGAAAGAGAGGAGCACATTCCAGAAGAAGTTTTGAGAACTAAATTGAATGTTTCCTTATTTCATCTTTGTGTTCCTTTCCTTTTTTACGTAATTCCTATGTAATCTACCATAGTAAGCTCTGTTCCCCAACTCCAAAATGATGAATTTGCTTGTGAAAGCTAATAGTGTATATGGAGAATATGTTCTTTGCTGAAACTGAGTACTTTCATCTTTTAATTCTGATATTAATTTTCTTAAGGAATTAAAGATCAAAAAGTAAAATCTGTGGAATCACTTCATTGTAACAGCATTGCATTTCACAAATAGGAAATAATTTAATTTGTCTGTAAATCTTGCTTAATCACTTTTAGATGTAAAGGGACACACTGGGGGTGAAACCCAGTTAAAACCTTTTGAAAAGAGATTCAGCTAAGCTTCTGGGAGGAAGAACCCTGGGACTTACTTTTTTTTTTTTTAATATTTGTCTATAAGCTCTGTATGTATGCCTGCAATGAAGATAGCATATTATATAAATGAATGAGCAATCTTAGAAGATCCACAAGGGTAATTGGAACTGGTCCTGTAGCTTTTTTAAAGAAAAGAAATGCAAAAAAAGGGAAAAAAAAAAAAAGACACCCCTCCCCACACCACCCCCCACACCACC